AGAATCCGTTAATCATTCCACAATTGGTAAACTCTTCGACAGGTCGATGTTTATATCGTGGCCACAGTGTATACAACACGATGTCTTGCTTTTTGTGACCGATGCAGCCCCATATATTGTAAAATCAGGCAAGTCAATACAGTAATTTTATAGAAAATTGGTGCACATTACTTGCCTAGCTCATACACTGCATAGAGTGATGGATGAAGTGAGATCAAAATTTCCCCAAGTGAATGCTCTCATGTTGAGGACGAAGAAGATTTTCGTCAAGGCTCCAGCTCATAAAATGCATTTTAAGCGTTCTAACAGGATATAAAAAAATTGTATTAACCTTTAAAACATCTAGCTTCAAATTCAATCAATGTTGCTTAACTTTCAACATAAAAACGAGGATGAACTTAAAAAGAGTAAAGATGAGTTCAGTGTAATAAAGATTAAAAATACATTTTAAAATAATTAGTGGATATTCTGATATATTATATTTTTCAGTCATATTTTAGGTCATTTTTCTGAATTTTTTCGGTCATTTTATAAACATTTTCAGGTCATCAAAATCCGGGCCCCCCTTATTACATACATCACAACAAAATAGTTTCTCGACACTATGTATGCACCGATGTCTCTTCAGATGACTAAATGACTTATTACATACATCACAACAAAATGGCTTCTCTCCACTATGTATGCGTTGATGTGTGTTAAGTTGATTTTGCTGACTAAATGACTTATTACATACGGTCCAACAAAAAAGGCTTCTCTCAACTATTTATGCGTTGATGTGTCTTAAGTTGACTCTGGTGACTAAACAACTTTTTACACATCACAGCAAAATGGCTTCTCCCCACTATGTATGGGCATATGCCTCTTCAGAACACTCTCTGAAATGAACGACTTGTTACATACATCACAGCAAAATGGCTACTCCCCACTATGTATGTGCTGGTAAGTTGATTCTGCTGACTAAATGACTTATTACATACAGTCCAACAAAAAAGGCTTCTCTGAACTACTTATGCGTTGATGTGTCTTAACCTTTATCCTACGGGCATTTAAATTCCGGTAAGGGCAGCGGTACGGAATTAATTTAAATACCCATGATTAGAAATCCGTAAAAACTGTAGTCACTTACTAAATTTGCTCCTATTTCTGCAATTTCTGTGATAAACGAACGAAATAAACGCTTTTTTTTTCTTGAAAGAATATAGAATCAGATATTGTAATTTACAGATTGTATAAAACATGTTAAAATTTTTGCACTGACTCCAAAGAAGAAATTTCCTAATTTTTTGTTTCTCTACAAGAATTCATACGTTCTCGATACGTTTCAATGCAAGCTGGTGTATGACGACACTCGGCAACACCGCTCATGTTATGTCTAACGAGTTTATCTCAGTATATATGACATACCTCTGTCGGAATGTGGATGTGGACGAGTGAAAATAAACTCAGTGTCTTACTTCACTCTCAGCTACAGTATAACGTTTCTGCTGTTCTTATATAGATCAAGGCTAGCTTTGTTTATGAAATTGCGTTTGTAGTATCAACAGAGCGATAATAGAGCTTCGTTCCTGGAATTGTTNACCCCATACGGGGTCTTTAGTCGTTAAAGGTTAAGTTGACTCTGGTGACTAAACGAATTTTTACACATCACAGCAAAATGGCTTCTCCTCACTATGTATGGGCATATGCCTCTTCAGAACACTCTTTGAAATGAACGACTTGTTACATACATCACAGCAAAATGGCTACTCCCCACTATGTACCACTATGTATGTGCTGATCTGTCTTCAGATGACTCTGCTTTTTAATTACTTATTATATACATCACAGCAAAATGGCTTTTCACCACTATGTATGCGCTGATGTGTCTTCAGACGACTCTGCTTTCTAAATGACCTATTACATACATCACAACAAAATGTCTTCTCCCAACTATGTATGCGTTGGTGTTTCTTCAGATGACTAGGCTTTCTAAATGACTCTTTGGATACATCACAGCAATATGGCTTCTCCCCAATATGTATCCTTTGGTGTGTCCTCAGACTACTCAGACCACTGTATGACTTGTTACATACATCACAGCAAAATGGCTTTTCGCCACTATGTACTACTATCTATGTGTTGATGTGTCTTCAGGTGACTCTACTTTTTGATTACTTATTATATACATCACAGCAAAATGGCTTTTCACCACTATGTATGCACTGATGTGTCTTCAGATGACTCTGCTTTCTAAATGACATATTACAGACATCACAACAAAATGTCTTCTCCCAACTATTTATGCGTTGGTGTTTCTTCAGATGACTAGGCTTTCTAAATGACTTTTTGCATACATCACAGCAATATGGCTTCTCCCCAATATGTATCCTTTGGTGTGTCCTCAGACTACTCAGACCACTGTATGACTTGTTACATACATCACAGCAAAATGGCTTCTCCCCACTATGTATGCGCTCATGTCTCTTCAGATTAATCTGCTGACTGAATGAC